TCGGATCCGCTCTTACGAACGGGGCGGTCTCGCCCCGGAGGTCGAGGTAGCGGATTGCTACCTGCGAGCTCCAGGGCGAGAAAGCCCCGTTCGTAAGCTGCTCCGGTGCCCCTGGTCTGCTGGAGCAAAGCCTCAGAAGCGCGGGAACCGCTGCTGCTGCCGCTTGAGACCCGGTGCCTGTGGTCTGCTGCTTTGCTCTGGCAAAGCCTCAGAAGCGCGGGAACCCGCCCGCTGCTGCCGCTTGGGTCCCGGTGCCTGTGGTCTGCTGGGGACGGTCCCCAGCAGACCACAGGCACCGGCACCCAAGTGGCAGCAGCAGCGGTTCCCGCGCTTCCGAGGCTTTGCTCTGGCAAAGCCTCAGAAGCGCGGGAACCCGCCCGGTGCCCCTGGTCTGCTGGAGACGGTCTCCAGCAGACCAGGGGCACTGGAGCAGCTTACGAACGGGGCTTTCTCGCCCCGAGTTCCAGGGCGAGAAAGCTCCGTTCGTAAGTGCGGATCCGACGTAAGTCAGATCCGCGTAAGTCGGGGACTGCCTGTACCGCCTTTCAAGCAGTTATGCATCCATCAAAATAAAATTATTATATAAGAACACATTTCCCTAGGTTACTTAAGAGAATCTTACGTGGGACTGTGTCAAAAACCTTACTAAAAATCATGCTTACAGTTTTCCCCAACACACCCACCAAGGCAATATCCCTTGTGCTAAAAAAACTGACAGGGATCAAAGGTAAACTGACTGGTCTAGAAGTTCATGAGTCATCTCTCCCCCCATGTTTGCCCTTCTCCAAACCTCTAGGATAGGGCTCAGGAACCACAGAAAAATCAGTAAGCAAAACAAAACAAAACAAACCCAAACTCTCACTGATGTGGCACCTGACTAGGAAGGAGAAAGACACTCCACACTAGGGATGTAAGGGAGTAGTAGTAAGCCTGTTTGTTGGGTAATTGAGTCTACTACTCCCCTCCCCCCCTGCTACCGCCACCTCTGTGTCAGAGGCAGCGGGGGTGGGGGAAGGAGGGGGAGGCAGTGGATTGAAAAGCAGGAGCTGGGGGGAGCCCCAAGGAGCTAACCATGCTGAGACTCTGCATTTTGAATGTAGCTGAAGTAAGATCATTGTAAATGTAGTAAGAGACTAGTTGAGTCACTACTCAACTATTCGCTTCCTGTACCCCCGTTGCTTCTATATCATAGGGAGCAAGGGGGAAGAACAGGAGCTGGTGCTGGGGAGAGCTGGCTTTGGGGAGCAAAGGCAGAGGTGCAGCTGGGGACCGGTGCAAGCTGACTGCTTCAGTCCCAGCTCGCACCTGGTCCCATGCTGTGGCTCTGTCTTTTAAACATAGTATATAGCCTTTTAAACATTTAAACAGCAGAGCCGTAGTGTTCCAGAGACTGCTCAGTCCCAGCTTGTGCCACCCATGGGAAGCTAATTGCATGGCAGCTCTGCAGTTTAAATGCAGTAGGAGCTGCCTGTGCACCTGGCTCTTGCTACATTTAAACAGCAGAGCTGCACCAGAGTAGAAAGAACCCTCCCAACTGACTAATCGGGTAGCCAATGGAAATTCCATCAACTCGATTAGCTAATTAATTGTAACTTAACATCTCTGTTCCCCACATTCCCCTCACACACCCGAGCCTGGGGGGCTCGGCCTAATAGACTTTATGTGCCAGTCCCACCACAGAGCTGGAGCACCAGTGTGGGCTTCCCAATGCTGGGGTGTCCCTTGAGCCTTGGAGGCTGGATCCAGGCAAGGCCCAGGGGCTGGATGTGGCTCCTAGCTTAGGTTCCCCACCCATGCTCTAGGAGTTTCCCCCATCCTCCATGAGCTCTCAAAGATAATCACCAAGGATTCCAAGGCCCCCAGGACCAGAGTTGCTGGGGGCCAGCTGAAGCTGCTGAGACAGGACAACTGAAGCCGGAGCTGCTGGGGCCACAGGTGGTGGGGGCTGCTCCTATCAACTGGATCCTCTAGTTAACAGTAAATATGGCCCCCACAGATAGGGGCTGTTGCCAGCCTGCACTGCTGCTGCCCTGCGTTGCTGCCTCTGTATCAGAGGCAGCAGCATGGGATGACAGGTGGCTCCCCTGCATGCTCTTCATTTAAAACTCAGACCAGCAGGCTAGGACTGAGCCAGCCTGCCAGTCCAAGTTTTAAATGCAGAGCATGTGGGGGGTGGGAAAGGGGAGCTTCTGCAGTTAACTGGGACCATTAACCAATAAGCAATAGCTTATCAGATACATGGTTATCTGTGTGGCTAACATCTCTACAAAGTACACTATATTAACTGGGTCACCCTTGTACTTCTTTAAGGACATATGGACAAGAGATGGAGGTGGCATGATTTCCCTTTAGGAACACCAATTTGACTCTTCCTCGATATATCATCTTTATGGCTGTGTCTACACTGCACCCCTTTTCCGGAAAAGGGATGCAGATTAGACAAGTCGGAATTGCAAATGCAGCGGGGATTTAAATTTTCCCCGCTGCATTTGCATGAACATGGCTGCCGCTTTTTTCCGGCTCGGGGCTTTGCCAGAAAAAAGCGCCAGTCTAGACAGGGATCTTTCGGAAAATAAAGCCTTTTCTGAAAGGTCCCTTATTCCTCTTGAAATCAGACCTTTCGGAAAAGGCTTTATTTTCTGAAAGATCCCTGTCTAGACTGGCGCTTTTTTCTGGCAAAGCCCCGAGCCGGAAAAAAGCGGCAGCCATGTTCATGCAAATGCAGCGGGGAAAATTTAAATCCCCGCTGCATTTGCAATTCCGACTTGTCTAATCTGCATCCCTTTTCTGGAAAAGGGGTGCAGTGTAGACACAGCCTATATGTATGATAGAAATCTGTTCTTTACTGTCATTTCAGCCAACCTCCCTGGTAACTGAAATTGGTTTTACAAGTCTGTAATTGCCAAGATCATCTCTGAAGCCTTTTTAAAAAGCTGTATTACATGAGTTAGCCTCTGTACCAGATGACTGGAGGGTGATGGAAGAAATATTAATATTCAATTTCATATTTAAGTCTCTTCACTTATTTTTGGTGAGTGCCATCTGGTCCTGATGACTTCTTATTGTCTAAATTAGACTTTTGTTGAATCACCTCCTCTACTGATATGTCAGTCTGGGACAGTTCCTCAGATATATTACCTAAAACTAAAGGCTAAGGTGTAGGAATCTCCCTCACATCCTCTGCAGTGAACACAGATGCTAATTATTCATTTAGCATCTCTGCAATGACCTTGTCCTCCCTGAGTGCTGTTAGCACCTTAATCGTCTAGTGGCTCTATTGATTGGTAGCCTCTCTGCTTCTGATGTGCTTAAAAATTGTTTTTAGTCTGCAAATTCTCTTTTGGTCACCTAATTAAAACTTTTAGGCTATGTCTACATTGGCATGATCTTGCACAAATACTCTTTAACAACAGTTCTTGCGTGAAAGTATTTGCGCAAGAGAGCGTCTACACTGGCACAGATGCTCTTGCGCAAGAGCATCTGTGCCAGTGTAGACGCTCTCTTGCGCAAATACTTTCACGCAAGAACTGTTGTTAAAGCTTTCTTGCGCAAGAAATTCATGTTGCCTGTCTACATTGGCCTCTTGCACAAGAACAGTTGCGCAAGAGGGCTTATTCCTGAGCGGGAGCATCATAGTTCTTGCGCAAGAAGCACTGATTTCTCACATTAGAATGTCAGTGTTCTTGCACAAGAACTCCCCGCCAGTGTAGACAGAAAGCATGTTTTTTGCGCAAAAGCAGCCGTTTTGGCGCAAGATCGCACCAATGTAGACACAGCCTTACACTTTAGTTGCCAAAGGTTATACTAGTCTTTATGTTTGAACAATAATCTATACCCTAAGACAGGGGTCTCCAAACTGCGGCCCGGGGGCCGGATGCGGCCCGCGAGGGCCTCTCATCCGGCCCGTGGAGACCTTTTTGGATTCAAAGGCAGAAGAAGTGAGATTGTTTCAAAACCCATTTGAAGCAGATGTGGCCAGTTGCCCAGATGAACTGCAGCTGGAAGTCATTGAGTTGCAAGCAAATGACCTCCTTAGGGACAAGTTCAAAATAGGACTGGTGGGTTTTTACCAGTTTTTGCCCAAGGAAGACTTTCCTAATGTCAAAACTTTTGCATCAAGGTACCTTTCAATCTTTGGAACAACATACCTGTGTGAACAAACATTTTCAAGAATGAAATACGTGAAGAACAATTTGAGAACAAACTTGTCCGATGATAATCTCAGGTCACTGTTGATGTTAGGGACAACAAATCTAAAGCCAGAAATGTCTGCTATTTTGGCATCCAGGAAACAATTTCACCATTCACACTAATACAGGTGTTCATGTGTAGTGTATGAATGTGTTATTAAATAATAACTGAATAAAATAATATTAAATACATAATTAAAAACAACATCCATGTTTTGATTGTTTTTTATTTGGACCTCAAGTGTGTAGTCGGCCCCCGAACTGCTGTTTGATAGTTAATGCGGCCCTCGGGCTGAAAAGTTTGGAGACCCCTGGTCTAGTCGATGGAATCTCCTAGTGGATAGGCACTTCTGCATTCCTCCTTTGAAATGTACAAGAGGAATGCAGAACTCCCCATACATCCCAGGGCCCACATACAGCCCCGGAAGTACTGTTGACTCCTGGATGCACGTGGTTTGCCTGCTTTGAAATGCACAAAAGTCCCCAGCAGGGGCTCTTGTCCATTTCTAAGCCATGGAGCTTGGGGTCAGCGGAGAACTGTGAGTCCCCCACTGACCCTGGGCTCCATGCTACACAGCATGCCACTGGGAGCCCCCAGATGGCCCTAGGCTCCACAGTAGATGTCCCTTTGAAAGGCGCAGAGATGGCAGTTTCAAAGGGGAAGTTGCCGCACAGCTGATTAGCTGTGCGATGGCTTTTCCTTTGAAACTACTGCCTCTGCGCTTTTTAAAGGGGCAGCTATGGAGCCCTGGGTGAGCTGGGGACTCCCCAGCTGACCCCAAGCTCCACAGCTACACCTTTGAAAGGCACATAGGCAGCATTTTAAAGGGGCAGCTGCTGCACAGCTGATCCACAGACCAGTTGTGCAGTGACTGCCCCTTTGAAAAGCTGCTTTGGGGTTTCAAAGTTTCACTTTAAAGTACCCCTCCCCCGCCTTTGCTGCCCCTATCTTATAGAGGCAGCAAAGAGGGATAGGGGGATATCAACTAGTCAAAATGCTTATTGGATATTTGACTAGCCTGTTACATCCTTATTATGCTTCTTTCAGTTTTCCTCAATAAAAATTAGAGACCCAATCCTAAAAATATTCCTTTTTTTGCCTGTAACCATGTTTTACTTTGCTCTTTAATCATGGCAGCATATTATTGTTTTTTTACTTGGAGTATAAGTTATAAATTAATTTTAGACTCTATTTGTTGTTTTTAAATAGTTCCCATGCACTTTGCATACGTGTCATGCTTATGATCGTTCCTTTTAAATTTCCATCTATTAAGTTAGTCATTTTTGTGTAGTTCCCTTAATTGAAGTTAAATGCTACTGCGATGGGTTTCTTTAACATTTTTCATTCCAAAAGGATTTTAAATCATGGTCACGATTACTGAAAAGTTCAGCTATAGAGACTTCTTCCACCATATCCTGCATTGTACATAGGACTAAATTTACAACAACCTCTCCCAAAGCGGGTGCCAGGACAAGTTGCCAACCCCTCCCCCCAAAAAACGTCACCAGTCATTTAACAGGGCTAGAAAATTTATCTCTATATGCCTTTCTGAGATGACATACATCCAATAAACATATAAGGACAGTTGAAATTTCCTATTATTGTACTTTCTGCCTGTGTAGCTTCTCTAAGCCCCCACATTCTGCAACTGTCACCATCCTGGTTTGGTGGTTGGTACTGTACTCAAACTGCTATACATTCATAGTTCAAGCACAGAATTTATATCTATTGAGATTCTACGGTACTATTTGATTCATTTAAGAGTTTTACTTTATTTGATGCTATTGCTTTCTTTCACATTTAGGGCCACGAGTACAACCTATTTTCTCATTCCTTTATATTTTCCTGGATAGCATCACCCCATCCCACTGATCATCCTCATGCCGCTAATTTTTCATGAGGACTACGATATCCATATCCTCATTTAATGTCAAGCACTCTAGCTCACCCATATTAATATTTAGACTTCCAGTACTCACATATAACTTGAACATGTTGTCAATATTCAGAGGCAGCCCCCATGCAGTATATTTAAATAGAACTCTTATGTTGGACTGTTTTTCACTATCTCCCACCTCTACTTCACCAATTTCTTTCTTCTTTACCAGGACTTGTACTTCTCCCTTTAGTAATTTCATCCCATTCATGAGTAGTACACTGTTCACAATCTTCTTAATTGGACATTCAAGGTCTCACTTTTTTGCCTATAGTGATAGAAATGTAGACAAATGTGATTTGTCCTTTTCATGTGTGTTCATGTTTTTAACTGTATCCTTTGGTATATATGGTTGTGACTATTTTCTTCCACTATTTGATCTGAGGAAGTGGGTCTGGCCCACGAAAGCTCCTCACCTAATAAACCATCTTGTTAGTGTGTAAAGTGCTGCACAGTCCTGTGTTTTTTCCTCCTACGGCATTCAAATGATCTTCTTGCTGCCTTCCCCGTCCCTTGACCAGTGTGACTCGCTTGGTGCCTTGTCCCCGGGCCCGACGCTGACCGGTCCCCATCCCCCGCGCTTCACCCAGGATAACCCCTGCGCTCTCCCACACAGCCAGCCCCCTGTGCCTCCATCGCCCCTCCCCTCGGGGAGAATACCCCGTATGGCCCCTCTTCATCCCCCGCGCTTCACCCAGGATAACCCCTGCGCTCTCCCACACAGCCAGCCCCCTGTGCCTCCATCGCCCCTCCCCTCGGGGAGAATACCCCGTATGGCCCCTCTTCATCCCCCGCGCTTCACCCAGGATAACCCCTGCGCTCTCCCACACAGCCAGCCCCCTGTGCCTCCATCGCCCCTCCCCTCGGGGAGAATACCCCGTATGGCCCCTCTTCATCCCCCGCGCTTCACCCAGGATAACCCCTGCGCTCTCCCACACAGCCAGCCCCCTGTGCCTCCATCGCCCCTCCCCTCGGGGAGAATACCCCGTATGGCCCCTCTTCATCCCCCGCGCTTCACCCAGGATAACCCCTGCGCTCTCCCACACAGCCAGCCCCCTGTGCCTCCATCGCCCCTCCCCTCGGGGAGAATACCCCGTATGGCCCCTCTTCATCCCCCGCGCTTCACCCAGGATAACCCCTGCGCTCTCCCACACAGCCAGCCCCCTGTGCCTCCATCGCCCCTCCCCTCGGGGAGAATACCCCGTATGGCCCCTCTTCATCCCCCGCGCTTCACCCAGGATAACCCCTGCGCTCTCCCACACAGCCAGCCCCCTGTGCCTCCATCGCCCCTCCCCTCGGGGAGAATACCCCGTATGGCCCCTCTTCATCCCCCGCGCTTCACCCAGGATAACCCCTGCGCTCTCCCACACAGCCAGCCCCCTGTGCCTCCATCGCCCCTCCCCTCGGGGAGAATACCCCGTATGGCCCCTCTTCATCCCCCGCGCTTCACCCAGGATAACCCCTGCGCTCTCCCACACAGCCAGCCCCCTGTGCCTCCATCGCCCCTCCCCTCGGGGAGAATACCCCGTATGGCCCCTCTTCCTCCCCCCCGCACTTCACCCAGGATAGCCCCTGTGTCCACTCAAGCGCCCCCCCCTTGGGCCTGACCTCCCTCCCTCTTCGGCGAGCCTCCACTAGGGATGTGAAAAGGTAACTGTCGCCTGGGAGCTTGCAGCAGACTGCTCCACCCCAGGCTGCCGCCTCCGCCTGAGCTTGGACCCTTTGGAGCCAGGCTGGAGGAGTCCCCTGCCTGGGATCCCACTTACTCAGTAAATCAGTTAAATCTAACTTTTAACCGATCCAGTGGGGTTTTACATCCCTAACCCCCATCTCTCTGCAAGCCCATTAATCTTCCCCGTGGGCCCTCAGACTATAAGTGGCCTTGCATTCTGCCCTCCACCTTGGCTCAGTCCCAACTACCTCCCGCTCCCCTGCAGGTGGAGGATGCACTTTCCTACCTGGACCAGGTGAAGATTCGGTTTGGCAGTGATCCTGCCACCTACAATGGCTTCTTAGAGATCATGAAGGAGTTCAAGAGCCAGAGGTAAGGTGAATTCCAACCCATCCAGTAGCCACTGCTATAGTGCTCTTCCTCTCAGATATCCCATTTTGCTCTAGCATATTCCCCTGCTCCTAGTACTTTTCTTAGAGAACCCCAGACCATAGTGCCAGCACCCAACTTTAGAACCCCCCCCACTGTTCATCCCCACACAAAATATCGTGCAGTACTCCCCTGCCTCCGTGCTCATTTTCAGCATACCATTAGCGGAATCTGATCCTCAGACCTTCCAAGCTCATGCAAGAAGCATGTTTCCTCAGTTCTATTAGATTATTGAAGAGTTAAATTCCAGATGGAAAAGGGTCCATTTTCCCTTACCACAGAGGGTCCAAAATCCCCTTCTAAAGCGCCCATATCAACACCAAAACCAACAAGGAATCTGGTGGCTCTTTAAATTCATTAGGGTATTAGAGCATAAGCTCTGTTATGCTCTGTCAGGGCTATTCCCCGCTCTGGCACTCTGAGTACAGAAGATGGGGGCTCTCAAGGGACTTTAAATACCTGCCTCTATAAGCTCTGCTTACAAAAACTCCCCCGTCACAGATTTACTGACTTTGTGGGGTAACTGACACCATAAAGTGATTTAACTCTGAAAAAACAGGAAGGAATACTTGAATTCTTTCCCCAGGAGTACCCTTAGCTCTTTTGCCATAAGAGAGCTTGAGAAAAGAAGCAAAAAGTACAGAAAAAGAAACAGTGATGATTCTCTGTTGTGTTCTATCCCTCTGGGGCATCTGGTATTAGCTACTGTTGGTAAACAGGATACTGGGCTACATGGACATTTGGTCTGACCCAGTATGGCTGTCCTTATGTTCTTATGATAGCTGACCTCCAAGCCTAGGCAGACATGCATAGAGCTCCTGTTATCTTCCAGGACACACAAATCAAATCATCGCTTTAAAAAAGATGATTTTATTAACAAATGCAAAGATATACTTGATAAAGCATACTTGGTTGCTAGGTGTTACGGAGCAACTAAGAAAACATATAAAAAACACAAAGAATCATAGTTCTTCAGGCAGTAATTTAAATGGTGAGTGTGGGAGGGAAGGCATAGATTCACACAAGTTTAACTAAACAGCCAAAATTAAAAAAAAAACTGATTACAACTAAATACATATTTTCCCTCTACTTATGATCTGTGCTGATCTGCGCTTCCAGGCCTAGTTCACTCCTATGTCCAATATTTTTTTTATAGGCATGGTAATTCTAATTATTGCATCTACTTTCTCCAAACCTAACCTAGAATTTTCCCACAAAGAGAGCAGAGGCAAGATATCTAAATACAATTCAAATGTTAGCACTGTATCCCCTTTGGTTCTTCTGGCCTCCTGCCAACAACCTTGCTAGTTACCTGAGCTTAACCGCTTAATCTCAGGTGCTGGCCAGCACTCCTATCCATCACATGCCCTAATATCTTAATAAATGTGTTAGTCTTTAAAATGCCACTGGACTCCTTGTTTTTGTTGAAACAGACTAGCATGGCTACCCCTCTGAAATATATCAACACCATTCATCAGCCCTAATTTCAGGTAGACAATAAGTCTTGTATATCTCAGCTCACTCACGGAATCAGAACCTAAAAAGGGGGTGAAAAAGCGAGATTTTGTAGCACCCAAAACACCAGATGTATAGGGAAGAACATCCCCCTTCAGCTAATCCACATCCTCAAGTCTCTGTCTTGCCCCATAAACAGAACCATCACGTTGGGAGGAGCTTGCTAATTATTAGCACTTTCACTTCATTTGGGCCTTCTAGTTCTCTTGGTCTTTTACAGTGTCACAGACTTTCCAGAATAGACACTTGGTCACACACTGGTATTCTATAGCATTGGGGCTAATGGATCCAATGTGTACCTCATTTGGAGAGTTTTGTCTTTAGACTTGGGGATGGGAAAAGGAGTTTCTTACTGTCATCTGTACATCTGGCCTTAACATAGCAAAATACATACATTGTATGTTCAGTGTTTATATTCAGGATGGGGGAGTATCCTTACTGTGGTATATGGACACCCAGAGAGTTAGAATAATTCAATTTGCTGCAGTATAATTTCTCTTCCTAGAGTTTTCTCTAGAAAGCTACAAGAACTCTGGACAGTTTATAGTCTTCAGGGAAGTCGGTGTTATTTTGATGCTGAAGTCTATTAAATTCCCTAATTGCTAATAAATGTTACTGCACTTCTTACTTTTTCTGTATTTTACTTTGCTTGAAGTTAACGACCTGTTTTTGGTTCTAGCATTGATACTCCTGGTGTAATCAGGAGGGTTTCTCAGCTGTTTCATGAACATCCTGACCTCATTGTAGGATTCAATGCTTTCCTCCCTTTGGGCTACAGAATAGAGATTCCAAAGAATGGGAAGTTAAGTATACAGTCACCACTGGCTAATCAGGTATGTTAAAATGCTTGGATTAATTTAAATGAATCATAATGCATGTGCATGAATTTGGACATGATGTTCCGGGTCTGCATAATAGATGAGTTGATTTGCCTTTATTGCAGTTTGGTAACATGTTTTGCAGGGTATTCTGGTACCATGACATAGGGGTGAGAACATAAATAAAATATAATTTCTTTAAAAAACATGTAATAGTTTTAGTGTGCCCTAAAGTGAAGCTCCTATACACTGCTGGTCAAATGCTTCAATCAAATTTGAAAGTTAAAAATCATGGCTTGCTGAATGTATACATTCAATAAGTCTTTTTATAATCACACTTAAATTTAAAAAATATGTTTGAAAATATCATATTTCCACATTCCCATTAAATGCCTGCAAGAACACAAATTTGTACATGGTTTTTCATTTGTATCATAAGAATGTCCATATTGGGTCAAACAAAAGGTCCATTTAGCCTAGTGTCCTGTCTTCTGACAACAGCCAATGCCAGGTATCCCAGAGAATGAACAGAACAGATAATTGAGTGATCCATCCCATCACCCATTCCCAACTTCTGGAAAACAGAGGATGGGGAATGCCCTCCCTGCCCATGTTGGCTGATGGGCATTGATGGACCTATCCTCCATGAAGTTATCTGGTTAATTTTTTAACCCTATTTTAGCCTTGGCCTTCACAACATCCTCTGGCAGGGAGTTCCACAAGTTGACTGCATTGTGTGAAGACATACTTCCTTTTGTTCGTTTTAAACCTGCTGCCTATTAATTTCATTTAGTGACTCCTAGTTCTTGTGTTATAAAGGGTAAATAACACTTCCTTATTCACTTTTCTTCACACTAGTCATGATTTTATAGACTTCTGTATATCCCCTCTTAGTAGTCTCTTTTCCAAATTGAAAAGTCCTAGTCTTATTCAATGCTCAGAGCAGTGATGGATTTAGTATTAGCACATAGATAGTCACACTGGACTTCGCATCCTTTTTCACAGTTGTAGAGTTTGAAACCTAAATCTTATCTGAATTTTGTTCAGAAGCTTCTGGCTTTAACTCTGTTCTCTGTTACTTGATGGTCTTTCAGCTTTTGTGTATTTTGATCTCTCCAACACTGAGAAACTTGGCATTTCTGAGAGCTATACTGTCGAACATGTTTCTTGACACCTACAATTCCGTTAGTACAGAGTGTTTTGTATGTTCTTGGCATCACTATTTTCTAAAGTGCAGAAGATATTGGAGTATCACAATTACAAGTGTTAATGAGTTAATTAGTATTGAAGGAAGAATGCAAACATGAGCAGAAGCAGTAGTGACTTATCAGCTTTTTCGTGAACGTATGTTCATTGACTTTTGAGTACAGTAAAACTCCAATTATCTGGCATCCAGTGGTCTGGCACTCCTGATAGTCCAGCACCAACTGGAACCCGGAAGTGCTCCAACCAGCCAGGCAGTTGGAGCTCCTGTAAGCCCCATGCGCACTCATGGGCCGGAAAAGAGAAGGGGAGGAGAGGAGAAGGGGATTACACCCCTGTGACGGGTCTGCTGGACTGCACTGCGTCTGGCAGGGTGGGCGGGGAATGGCGAGGGGCAAATCCTCCATCATTTTGCAGGGAGGCAGGGGAACCCCTGTGCAGCTGCCTGCTACAGGCCAGCTGGAGCTGCAAGCGACCGCGGTGGACTTGGGGAACCGGCGGGGCAGAACTTGGGGAACTGTCGGGTTGATCCCGCAGCGCCGCCCCTCACCTGACCTGGATTATCGGAAGCCTACCGTAGTTTGTGTTTTTGTCAAGATCATTGTCATTGGGTCCAGGTATAGTATTGGAAAGGCCCTTGAATATGAGACTAGCTCTGGTGGAAGAATTGTTCATGAAAACTGGGCCTTAGAAGGCACTTTACCCTTTGATAAAAGAACACAAAGAAGTGTGTGTGTGTGTGTGTGTGTGTGTGTGTGTATGAATCTAATGATAAAGTTTGGTTTAATTGTGTTGGCTTAATTGTGCTGAAACTGCCATTAGGTGCTCAGGAACTTACAGGAAACCTGTCCTGTTGGCTGGATCCTGAAACAGAATTGACATGGAAAGAGCCTTGTAGATCATCTTTGAGAGTCCCCTTATTAGAGATGGTTCTTGTATTTAACATTCTGAATGTCTCTTGGAAACAACTACAAAATGGACATTTCTTCGAGAGCTGGGTAATATGGTTTTGGTCAGCCTGGAACCAAGGAACCACGTGCTCTTAGATCTGTGATTCTTAACTGGTGGTCCATGGTAACTTTTTCGGTGGTACACAGGAACATTGTCCAAAGTCACACAGCATGAGCAGGCGCCGCCATTAGGCTGTTTTATGCTGTGTTCACAAGCACAAGGCGTGTCATCCATAGCGTCACCTAGGACGCAACCGCGTTGTGTTGCCAGTAACTTCTGTCTGAGGCTCTGAGTGGCAGTGTAGCTGCCGCTGTTGTGTTAAGCAGTTGCTGTGTCATTTGTCCTGTGCTTCATGTGCTGGAGGTGGTCCACGAAAATTTTTTTTATTTGCCTGGTGGTCCCTGGACTGAAACGAGTTGAGAACCACTGTCTTAGACACTATTGACAAATTAAGGCAGAATTGGACTGAAACAAGTTTCTTGTAATGCTCAATTGCATAAAGATTTGAAAAGTGGCTTCCAGGCAGCATCGTAAGCAAGAGGTAGCATAGAGTCTGCATGGTAATACAGTTGATCGGATTCTATGAATATGTATTCCAGTAAGCTTGACTTTTAGGAGATGTTAAGTTTCTTTCCACTGATTGACATCTGCAAACTGCAAGCAAGAAGTTCAAGTGTCATTGATTGCTCATTGGCCTATTTTAAATCAGCCATTTTCCTGAAAATTTGGACACTCAGTAACATACATCAGATTGCCTGCTATGAGACATCATAGTATAGCTGCGCTGCTAGGAGCTGTCAGAACTCGCCTGTATCTATCCGTGAAAGGAGGGATTTAGAAAGCTCTTGACTAATGTGGCAGGACAGCTTTTGGTGTCAAGGAGATGTTCTCAGTACTGAGACTCATTTGGAGTTATTTTATATGAACAGTTACAATAAGGAAATGTAGCCATGTTTCTCACTACATCACATATTTAAACGTTTCCTTATTATGTCACTAATTATTTTTCTGCAAAAAATGTATCAAACAAGCCATAGCCAAAATGTAGCTCAGTTTTGGTATAACAGCCTGTGAGTCTTTGCAAATGCAGTCAAGTAAACATAACAATTTTGTTTACTCCACACGTGTCCAAAAGCATGGTGCTATAATCTTCAAGTGGTCTGGAGAATTAAATAAGTATTTGGGATATCTGCTGGTCACCCTGATAAAGGCTAGTAAACCACATAGCATGGGTCCAAACCTGTTAACTGCAAAAGTGTCTATAAATAAAACAAAGAATCTTAATGTTTAGCTGGTTAATGTTGGCCTTTGTTGTAAATGATCAAAGTTGAAGCTTCAAAAGTGAAGTCTCAGAGCTGTTCATATGGTGTTCATACAGCATCATAGTGAAAATCCTCTATTACAGTCAAGACTTTCAAGTACTGTAAACATCTGATACTCTGTTCTTAAATAGGTATAATGGAAAGAATTTACAATGCTAAACTTAAATGGAAAGAGAAATGAGTTTTATTCTGGGGCTAATGTATTTTAATTGATGGTCTTAGCAACAGAGGTCAAGAAAATTCCTGGGTCAATTTAATTTTACTGTGCAATTACTCTTTCACTAATTGAACAGTTTGTAAATATGCACAACAATTTTACTCAACGTGTTGCTTCTCTATTTTTAGTTGAGTCACAAGTTTGCATTATTTCTATCACCTAGGTGTCATCAGAGCCTGTTCCTAGTGCTCAGCCGGGTGGTGGATTATTGTTACATTACTGTCAGGAGAATTCTCACAACCACAGTGACTGCTCTGAGGAATTCCGGCAGCAACTTCCATACAAAGAAGATAAATCTCAAATCTCCTTGGAATCTGATTCTGTAGAGTTCAATAATGCAATAAGTTACGTGAATAAGATCAAAACCCGTTTTCTTGACCATCCTGAAATCTACAGATCATTCTTAGAAATTCTTCACACTTACCAGGTACTTGCAAACGAGATAGCATGGGTCAGTATTATGACTATTAAATGAAATATGGAAGTTGAAAGCAGGCATATGCTTAGGGTCGTCAAATGCTGGACATCTTGTAATGTGGTTGTGGTACAGCTTTGGTTTGAAAAACAGCAGTGATGAGAGAAGACTAATTGAAGCCATACAGGGAGCATTTTTGTTTTAAGCAAAACGATTTTCTTTTATCATTGCTAATTTTCTATTTTAAATGCTTTATATCTAATTGGCTGCAGTGATTAGAGCTGCATGCCTATGGAAGGACAAGAGTTGGATAATTGACTGTTGAGCCCTTCTAGAATGCCTGACTAGGATACCCTACATCATAGATGGGGAACCTTTTTTGGTTTGGGGTCTGCTGACCCACAGAAAAATCAGTTGGGGGCCATACAAAAGGGAGAAGCAAAAAACCCCCAAACACCTCACTGACGTGGTCCCTGATTGAGAAGCAGAAAGACACTCCACACATTCCCCTCACACGCCAGAGCCTGCAGCTCTGAGATGGGGCCAGAACGGAAGAGTTCAGTGTGTGAGAGGAGTCTACTGGGAAATGGGCATGTGGTGTGGGATCTGGGAGGGAGGAAGGGAGGGCGGGAGTGGTTTGGGAATTGGTAGGTCTGGAAGGGTGGTAGGGTGCAGGAGCGGGCTGGGGTGGGCAAGCTGGGCAGGAGGTAGGATGCAGAAGCAGAATGGGAGTGGGGTGTGCAGGAGCAAGCTGAGGCTTGAGGGTGAAAGGTAGGGTGCAGGAGCAAGCTGGGGATGGGAGGGCTGGGTTGGAGGTAGGGTGCAGAAGTGAAGTGGGGGTAGGGGATCTGGGCAGGAGGAGGTGCAGGAGCAAAGTGGAGGTGGAGGTCTGGGTGGGGAGGAGTAAACACTGGGTGAAGGTGGGGGGGTTGCGCTGCAGGAGATGGCTGATGGTGGGGTTGTGGTCTCTGTGATGGGGGGGTTGCTTACCAGGTGCAGCTCCCCATTGATGCACATGGCTCCATGTCCCTCACTGTGCCCAGGCACCTTCCCCATGCTGCTCCTTTTGGCCATGACTATGACTATTTGGAACAGTGGGAGGAAAATCTCAAAACGCTGCCATTTCCCCAGCCACAGGGAAGGGGAAGCACCAGTGCGTGGAGCTGCTTCCTCCCTCTGTCAAGCAGAGTCCATGCGTCAGAACCAGCTCTGGCCTGCCATACTCCGGCCCCTGAGGCTCAAGGTTTCCCCAGCAGTGGGGAGCCGACAACTGGTGCTACAGCACTAAGGAGGGCCATGGTGTAAGACTGAAGCACCAAAGCTGGCTCCTCAGTGCTGGTGCAGGGAGAACTGAGCCTCGGAGACTGGATCCAGCCCCAGGCTGCATTTGACTCTTGAGGACAGTGAATTGTTTGTTCCAGTTTCCTTACTAACTGCAGTTCATTACTCTTAACAGTTTTTTAATGACTTTCTGTAAATTGGCAGAAAGAACAGCTGAGCACTAAAGGCCGACCATTTCGAGGCATGTCAGAGGAAGAAGTGTTTACTGAAGTAGCAAATCTCTTCAGGGGACAGGAGGATCTACTGTCTGAGTTTGGACAGTTTCTCCCTGAAGCTAAAAGGTCTTTGGTATGTGTTTGATAGCATGAGGCAAAAAGGCAGACACTGTACAGTCTACGCTGTGTTTGCATTCTAGTTGGATAATTGACATAATGCCTGAACAAATACCCTAAAAAATAAAATTCCTTGCCCTTGCAGGACTGGCATCTAGGCTCTGAGAGATAGCATTGTTTCAGATGAGGATGAGAGAAGGGTTGATTGGGTGGAACAACTGTGTGCCTTTCTCAGCAGTTGGACAAAGCACAGTAGAGAAAATGGGTGTCTCCTGAGAGGGAGCAGATAGTAAGCAGTAGTGTGTAAATTCTTAGAAGTTGCTCCTTTGTGAAGCTGTTGGAAACAGCTAAAAGACCTCTTCCAGAAAAAAGGTATGCTCTGAGCCTTTGAGTGCCAAGTGAAGACAAGCTACCTTCGGATGCCAAACAGGGCTTGCCTAAATTGGAGGGGATTATTTTGGTGGTGCACAAAGATCCATCTGATGGCAATATTATTTAGTGAACTGCCACTTTTTCCTGTGACTTTCTCTGACATCATTACATCCTCTGACTGCTCTTGCAGCATCTCCCTTATGTCTGGGAAAGTCCAATTAATGTTGTCCTCATTTCCTGCTCTTGGAATTTCTGCTCTGCTAAATTCTTAATACTAGCCATGTTAAAATGGGTTTATTTTTGTAAACATGTAACTGCTGAAATTTACAGGCAGGAGGAAGCTGGTGCTTATGGTGCTTTTAAGTTGGTTCCACACAAGCACCACCTACTGCCTGCCCTCCTTCCCCCCACCACTTGCTTATCGGGTAGTTGACTAGTCGCTTACATCCCTAGTTGGGCTTATATGTGATATGTAGCACCACTAAACAACTGCAAAATATTGTTATAGAAAAATAGATTCTGTTTGAACTGTGCTCTCACCAGTCTTCCCTCTAAGCACAGCTTCACAGGTGATTAATCAGTCCAGCCCAGTCAGTCAGCTCGGTGCAGGAGTCCTGAGCCTCTGACTGGGCAGGGCTGATTAATCACCTGTGAAGCTGTGTTGCCATGTAGATTAGAGGGAACACTGGCACTCATGATTTGTTATTTGTAGTTAGCCAACTCATTTAGTGAAATCCTGTGTCTGGTATTTTGTTCAGATACATGGGGTTCTTTTTCTATGGAACTAAGAAGGGCAAACTGAAAACATTCTTTAATTTAGTTCACAGGAAATGGGCCATGTGAAATGAACAGTGTCCAGAAAACTGATCATGAAAAAAATCTGGAACATAGTAAAAAGCGATCCAGACCACTTCTGCTGCGTCCAGTTCCAAGCCCAGCAAAGGTATCATATTTCAAATAGAAATGTGAACTATTTTCATACTTGGGTATTTCTGTATGAAATAATTGCTCTTAACTTTCAAATTCTACTAAATGCATGTCATAGGGCAGCCTCACCTAGGTGCCCTCTACTTCCAGGCCATAGTATGACTGGCCTGGATGTCTCGGTTTTCCCTTCACAATCTCCAGAAATTGTCAAGTATGCGTTGCCCTTTAATGGTTAATTACAGAAGTCCTCTATAAGTAAATCATAACAAAAGTCCCACTACCATAGTCCATACAGTACATTAAGTAGAGCCACAAAATCCTTCTAGATAGAAATTCCATGCTTGGCTGATAAAGAATTATATATTACTAACCACCTGACAAGAGTGGTAATGGTGATTTGTAAAGTGCCCAGGTTGTTTAGAGAGGCTTACAAAGGCAGAAGATACAATAATAATGGGCATTTCAACAGTCCTCATATTGACTGGGTATAAGTCACCTTGGAAGGAGATGCAGAAATAAATTTTTAGAGATATTAATGACTGTTCCTGGAGCAGTCAATCCTGGAATCCACAAGAGATGAGGGAAGTGTTGAGTTAATCCTACATGGAATGCAGGATGAGGTTCAAGAGGTGAATATAACTTGAGTCACACAGTAATAGTAACAATGATGTAATTAAATTTAACATCCTTGTAGGAGCTTAAAGCGTTAAAATAACCCACCACAGTAGCATTTAATTTCAAATAAGGGAAGTACACAGAAATGGAGAAACGAATTAAGTGGAAATTAAAAGGAACAGAGTAGTGGAATGCCTGCAAGCTGTATGGAAGTTACTTTAAAACACCATAGTAAAGGCTCCAACTAAATGCTCAGTTTTTAAAAAGGACTAAAAAAAATGCCACCATAGGCAAACTTAGTAAAAAGAGCAAAAAATTAGAGGCAAAATGGTATTCTTTAAAAAATGGAAGGAAAATCCCAGTGAGGCAAATAGAAGAGTCCAAAAACTCTTGAAAGTCAAAGGTAAAAGTATAATTAGGCAGATCACAAAATAATTTGAAGAGCAACTATCAAAAGGCACAAAAAATGACAGCATATTTTAAAGTAAATCAGGAAATGTGCCAAACAATCAGTAGAGCCGCTGGACAACTAAAGTGCTAAAGGAGCACTCAAGGAAGACAAGGCCATTATGGAGAAATTAAGTTAATTATTTGTACTGGTATTCACTGCAGAGGATATGAGGGAGATTCCCACACCTAAGCCTTTCTTTTTAGGTGGCAAATCTTGAGGAACTATTCCTGACTGAGGTGTCAGTAGAGGACAGATTACTAGATTAAACAGTAATAAAACACCAGGACCAGATGGTATTCACCGAAGAGTTCTGAAGGAACTCAGATATGAAATTGCAGAACTGCTAACTGTGGTATGTACTCTATTGCTTAAATCAGCCTCTGTACCAGATGACTGGAGGGGAGCTCATGTTACTCAGATTTTTCAAAAACTCCAGAGATAGTCCTGGAAATTAAAGGCTCATAAGCCTCTAACTTCAGTTACCAGGCAGAGTGGTTGAAATGATAGTGAAGAAGAGAATTATTTCACATAGATAAAAACAATACATTGTGAGGAAGGGTCAACAAGGCTTTTGTAGAGGGAAATCATGCCCCGCCAATTTGCCAGAATTCTGTGAGGATGTCAACAAGCATATGGACAAGGGAGAGTCAGTTGTTATAATAGACTTTCAGAAAGCTGTTGATAAGGTCCCTCTCCAATGACTCTAAAGCATAGTAAACTTTCATGGGATCAGAGGGAAGGTCGTCGCATGGATTAGTAATTGGTTAAAAGATAGGAAACAGTGGGTCAGAATAAATGATAACTTTTCATAATGGAGGGCAGTAGATAGCAAGGTTGCCAAAGGATCTTTGCCAGGACCAGTGCATTTCAACATATTCATAAATGATCTGGAAAAAGGGGTGAACATCTGGCAAAGTTAGCAGATGGTACAAAACTACTCAAGATAGCTAAGTCCAAACCTGATTGCAAAGAGCTAAAGGGTATTGTCCAATCACTCATAAACCTGGGTGATTGGACAACAAAATGGCTGATGAAATTTAGTATACCAGGGGAAAAATAATCATAATTATACTTACAAAATGATGAGTTCTAGATTACCTTTACCACTCAAGAGGGGATTTTGACATCATTTGGATAGTTCTCTGAAAACATCACTCATGAAGTGGCAGTCAAGAGGCTAATATAATGCTAAGAAACATTAGGAGGAGGATGGATAATAAGACCAGAAATACTGTATTGCCACTACATAAATCTATGGATCTCCCATACTTTGAATGTTGGCTGCAGTTCTGGTTGTCCAGTCTTCAAAAATATGTATTGGAATTGGAAAAGGTACAGAGAAGGGTAAAAAAATGGTTAAGGATCTAGAACAGCTTTCATATGAGGCTAGAATAAAAAGTCTGGAATTCTTCAATTTAGAAGAGAGACAACTAATCAGGGAATGGGATAGAGGTCTATAAAATCATGACTGATATGAAAGACATGAATAGGGAAGTGTTATTTACCCCTTCATGTAAAACTCATCAATGAAATTAATCGGTAACATTTTTAAAACGAAAAAAAGGAGTACTTCATGCAACACAGTCAACCTGTGGAACTCACTGCCAGGGATGTTGTGAAAGCCAGAAGTATGACTGAGTTCAAAAAAGATTTAGATCAAGTCATGGAGGATAGAGTCATCAATGGCTGTTAGCCAAGATGATCAGGAACACAGCCCCATGATAAGGGTGCATCTAAACATCTTACAGGCAGATGCTGGGATTGGACATGAGGGGATGGATCGCACAATAATAGCCCTGTTTGCTACTTCTGAAGCATCTGGCATTACAATGTTGGAAAACAGAATACTGAGCTAGATAGACCATTGGTTTGACTCAGCATGGCCATTCTTATGTTCTTATACTTAGAATTTCTCATCATGCAAACCATATCGTTATCAGTACAGTTCCAACATCTTTCACCTTGCCTCATTCCCTGTGTTCAGTTTTCTCTGACTTCA